TTGTAAATTATTTGGACATTACTCTCCTATTAAGTCTCATTCCCATTTGTAAATATTTGTAGCCCCATTCCTGGATACTTATTTGTAATAGCGTAGACTTTAAATTCCCGCAATTTATCGCTTTCAAATATACCATGGTTAGACCTAGGGTTTGTATGTACATAAAATCAAACGCTAGATAAACTAATACAAAACAAATGCATGACAATCAATACACTATTCACACTTGCACCCCTAGGGTAATCCCGCTTGTTGCCTTCCAAAATGGGCCATGCTTGCACGTTGAGTTTCTTTGGCAAAACAAAACAAATCAAATGATCATAGTCCCTCGATGACGCTTTCGAAAGTTGCCTAATCAAAATGATCATAGTCCCTTCAAGCAAAATTGCCAAAGACACTTGGCACTATTGCATTCATGGTCCATACGATGACCCGCGCCTGTCCCGTTAACATCCTAACGCAAGATTGTCCACCAAATACAATGGTGGAACAAAATTGTTAAAAGGGTTAAAAACACGAGGAAAACCTTTGAGTAAATTTAGGGGTAGACAACTCTTAGGTACTTGATCAAACTTGCAAAACACACTTGCCTACTTTTCAAAACCCACTCCACAAACACTTTCAAAACAAACTTTCAAAAACATTTGAAACATCTTTTTGAAAAGATACACACCTTTGTAAAACATTCGAGTAAAGAATTGTTACAACGGTTGCCTAGACAAGGCCTCTTTTTCAAAACATTTTCAAACACACACACACACACACCACCATTTCAAGCAATTTGAAAATCAAGGCAAGTGATCTAAACAAGTAACTAAGAGCCCATGGATAACCATGGATGAAGAGGGTGCTAATACCTTCCCTTTTCATAATCTACCCCCCGAACCCACGAAATATCTCAAAAGGTTTTTCCTGTGCTTTTTAACCTTTCCTTTAGGATAAAATAAAAAGTCGATGGCGACTCTTGCTAAACCGAACAAGTGCGAATACAAACGCAAAACTCAAGTCAGTTCTCCCACCGTATCACACATGACAAGATTAACCTTTAACTTAAAATCAACAGTAGCTCACCATGACATGTACAAAGATAATATAAACTGAAAATTGACACACTCGCACATGCCACTCTTAGGGTACGCCTCACTTGGTTACCTCGAACGTGGTCATTGAGTATAGAATGTTTTAGAGGTCACCCTTTTGTCCAAAGATCATAAGTTGCCTCGAAACGGTTGCCTCAGATAAAATGATCTAAGACATTAGGGTTACCACTAAGGCGTCCTAACATCGCTTTAGTGACCACACGTCCCTTAAATCGAATTGACCCGAAAACTCCAACGACGGTGCTACCTACTCCTCCATAGTGGGATAGCACTGTCTAAAGGACATTTGCACAGTTTAATTCCTTTTTGAGTAGGTAGAGGTTCTTAAGTACTTGCTCCTTTTAAAACAAAACAAAACTTTTCGCACTTACACTCTCTTTAAAAACAAAACTCTTTTCAAAACCCACAAACACAAAGAAAAACAAACTTTTGAAAACACAGTGAGCAAGTACCTAAGAGCCCGTGGATAACCACGGATAGAAAGGGTGCTAACACCTTCCCTTTCTATAATCTACCTCCCGAACTCGAGAAACATCTCGAAAAGGAATTTTTCTGTGCTTTTGTCCTTTCCTTGTTGGATAAAATAAAAGACGGTGGCGACTCTTGCTTACCGCGACATTTTGCAAAAACAAACGCAAACGCGAACCAGCATTCCAAAACAGTCAGTTCTCATTCCCACCGATCACACTAACAGTTTAATATTTTGCAGAATCTAAAGTGCGGAAATTAAACTACGCTATTACAAGGCTTCAGGTATTTACATAGCCAAAAACAAACCCTTAAAAAATAAAGCGATAAATGAAAGATAAAAGCCCTAATTAAACTATTACAACTTGTGGGCAATTACATCAATATGGAAAAAATAATAATAAAGCGCGCGCAATGAAATTAAGATCGGGAAGAAATTAGGGTTTTGACCCTTTTTAACCTAATTAAAAGAAAGAAATGTTTTTGTTGTTTTTAATATTTTTTAAGAAAAGAATTAGGTTTTAAATTAAATACTAAATTAATTAGTGATTAAATTAATTAAAGAAAATAATTAAATGGCCTATTTTTATGTTTTTAGTTATTTTAAGAAATAGAAAATATAATTAAGATAGAAACAAAAACCTAATTGTTCTAATTGTTTTTAATTTTATTTACAAAAAGAATTAAAGTTATCTAATATTAACAACCTAATTAAATTAATTTAATTTGATAAAAAATAAAATCTAAACCTAATTGGGTGAAAAATATTTTTATGATTTTTTGATAAAAGAAAATAATTGATTTGTTAGTAAAATAAATAAATTAAATTAAATAAAACAAATATAAAAAGAATAGAGAAAGAGTTAATGGGCCTGAGAACAACAATTTGGGGGGAGGGGGTGTAGATAGCAAGCCTTGGCCCAAAACAAAGAAGTTCACGTTGACTTCCAGAATCCCATGCATTTGCTTTGACCATGCCCTTGGTGTTCCTTCATTGATTGCCCTTGGATCTGGCCATCTGGCCACTTGGCAAGTTGGATTATGAAGGTGTATGGTAGTCCTTGGTCTTTGTGTGCATGTTGGATCATGAAAAAGCAAATTATATGAAATAAAGGGGGACCTGGGATTCGAACCCAGGCCCCAAGGCACTTCCCACACGCACCAATGCCAACTGAGCTAACTGCTTCATTTATTCATAGAATAATAATAATATATAATATGCGAATAAAGGGAGTTAATGGAAAATAATAAAAATGTGCGCCAGAAGTTTGAATGATCCAATGGAAGGGTGCCACGCAGGTCATCCCCAACCTTGTTCCGTTGGTAAAAGTCCCAGACTTTTACCTACAGACGTTTGTCCGTCACTACAGACCTGCGTATTCTCAAAATCAATTATAAGCAAGATAAATCAAAGCTAAAGTTATGGATAGCTTTGTCTGGACCTGCTGAGTACAATGGTGGCCCTTTCATGGCCTAATTTTGCCTACACACAAAATTCCCAAATCGAAGCTACAAACCCTAATAATGGTAAAATCTCATACAGGCCATGAAAACACAATTAAAGATTACAGAAAGCTTGCAAATGTTCCAAGGATCAAGAATATATGATTGATTCGTGCTATCAATGTCTAAATCATGAAATTCGAATTCAAGAAAAGCCCAAGGTCGTGACTGACTTACAGTAAGTTTCAAGGCCTGAAATTGCTTGTTCTTGATTGGTTTTGCTTGCTGGAGATCCCAGGAAGCGATTAGAATGATCAAAGGGTCTTGAATTGGCCTCAAAGTATGAATTCGTGTTTTCACTTTTTCTTGTTTTTTTTTTCAAGTTTTGTTCTTGTTGTTGCGCCTCTCTCTAGCCCTGCTTTAGGTCTGCATATCATCCTTATGTACTGAGGAATGAATTAGGGTTGAAAGAATGATCGTAATCTTCTTCCATCAATGCTTTTGATTTTGATTTGATACACTTGAAAACCATTCCAAAAATACTCCAAATCCAATCTTTTTGTGCACCCCATGCCTTTACACGAATTTGATCTTATGCTAGTTGGACATTAAGACCTGAAACTTGTAAAAAATCTTGAGTTTTCAATATTTTGGATTTTCTATGATTTGTTTTGATTTAAATTGATTTAATTCAAAATTAAAATTAAAATAAATAATAAAAAAAGATAATGACAAGTGGCAAGGGCTAGGGCCCGTGGACCATGCTGCCAACTCAAAACAAGTGAAAAAGATTGGGCCCATTAAGCAAAATTTGCAATTTTAGGCATAGTTGACTTTTGGCAATTTTGCAAAAAAGGTCAACTTCACCAATGCATAACTTCCTCAATTTTGACTCTTTGAAGGTGTTCTTGGACTTTTTAGAAAGCTTGAGATGTCCTCTAAGAAAATCTTTTGGTTTCATCTCAATTTGATATTCCATGCTCATGTATGAAGCTTTGACAAAAAAATGTGTTTTTGTTAACTTTTCAAAATGACCTATAATGTCCAAATTCATAACTTCTTGTGAGTGCATATTTTGAACTTGGGAGATGAAGATGGATTGTAAAGCATTGCATCCTATTAAAAATGAGCTTTGGATGGGTCATTTCTCATAACGTATGAGAAAGTTATGCTTGGTCAAAGTTGAGTTGACTTTTCCTACAAAACCCTAATTTAGCAACTTTTGATTCTTGATGAATTATGAGCAATCCTTGATGAAACATGATCAACCCTTGATCAAATGATAAAATATACTTCAAAATGAGGATTTTGACCAAAAATCTTGAAGTTTGACTGTATGTGGGCCACAATTGACTTTTGCCCTAGCATAGTCGATTTTTAGGCCTTTGAGCAATTGACTGAGCAAACTTTCTCTGCAGGGCTTGAAACTTGACATGGATGATCTTGAGAACATATTAGGACATTGGTGGGCATTTGAGATCCATTGGAATCAAGTATCTTGATGCAACATGAAACCCTAATTTGAGGTAGATTGCCTTAGGAGAGAGCTTGTCTGACCAACCCTTGGACTAACTTGAGGATCTTTCTTGAAATGTTTTGAGAAATATGGGAGGGAAAATTTTGGGGTACAACACAAGCCAACAATACCATCAACAAAACCCTTCATCTAACCCCACCCAATGGGAAACCCAACAACAAAACCCTTCATCTAACCCTACCCAATGGGGAACCCAACAACAATATCCTCCATCTAACCCCATCCAATGGGGCACCCAACAACAATATCCTTCATCTAACCCCACCCAATGGGGCACCCAACAACAATACTCACATCTTACCCAATCAACATCAATCAGTCTACCACAAACATGATTAACACTACAAACCCCACATAATCCCAACTATCAGACACCCCAACAACAAATGCCTATTTCCCGGCCACAATAATTTACCTCCCAAGATTGTTACCAACCCTCAATAAATAGCCTAATGTCTTCTAGTCCCATACCAAATTGGAATTGGGAGGGAACCAGATTAAGTTATGACAGTGCAGTCGAGACAGACTATACCAATGAGGACATGATTGAGGAATTTTTAATGAGCTGGTGTGACGCGGGACCTTCAACTCAACCACAAAATGAAGGAAATCGCACAACAGGCCAACGTACTAGACGAACACCTGCTTGTGGAACTCACCAATGATTGACACGATCCAGTCAAAATCGACAGTAGATTTATCTTGGAATTATATAATTTAAAATGAAAAAAATTAATTTAAGTAATTTAGTGAAATTTTTGTTTATTTATAGTATATTTTATTTAATTATAGTGTATTTTGTTTGATTATAATATATTTTATTTAATTATAACAATTTAATTCAGAAAATAAAAAAAAAATATGTTTGCACTCTTCCGCCCATCCAATGGGCGGATCCTCTCTAATATTTAAAGCATCCGCCCAATGCATGGAAAAAAATTACACTGCTCTGCCTATTGTATTGACGGATGAGTTGTGGCAAAAAAAAAAATTGTTTGAAAAGATGGTAGATTGAGATTATTAAATGTAGTAGATGGTATATTGGGATTTAGTTGGTAAAAAAGATATATGTTGATAAAAAATTTCATCCTTTTATTATCTTATCATTTTATTATCAATAAAAGAAAATATAAAAGATTAAAAAAATAAGAAGGAAGAAGATGAACACGTTCAGTGTTAGGGTTAAGAATCAGAGTGAACATACAACTTCCCCACAATCACGATACTCTCTTCTTCTTCTTGCAAAACAGCGTGGCTTTATTCTCCGGCAAACATCAACGATTCTCCACCATCAACGCCTCAACCTTCCCCGATCTCCAACGTGAACATCACCTCTCCGGCGCTGCGGTGTCTCAAAGCTCTATCTTAGTCCACGAATTCAAGCTTCACGATTTCGTACCAATTCGTTGTCGTTGTCAGCTTCAGTTCCCTCTCCTTCGTGATTTCCGTTCGATCGTGACTCAAACTTCGTCTCAGTTCCAATTAAGTTTCGACGCGACAAAGACGATGAACCATTCTTTTCTATTCAATCTTCTTCATCTTCTTTGTCTTCATTTCTGTTTGAGATAAAGATGTGTGTGCGTTGCAATTGTATTCTTGTGATGATGCGGTTTTTGTTGCAGATTTTGTCGTTGAAGGTTGATAACAAGTTGATGAATCAAGCTTCCAGGTTCATAGAAAACCCAAGATTGAAGATGATTTTTTAAAGCGTTTTTGCAGATTGATGCGGTTGTGAATCGAGAGAGTGTCGAGAACGATTTTCCTTCTAGTGAGATTACTTGAATCTTCTTTCTGAGTTTTTTTCTGTGTTGAATAATGATTGTGGATCTGAGTTTTTCTGTATGCTCTCAATGAATCGATGATTTCATAGAGAGAGATTGAGGGGTTTTTTTGTGTGGGTCCCTGAATGATTCGTGAATATCCTCCTCTTATCTTGCTGCCAAAGTTTGTTAGATACCAAAACAAATCCCAGCCTTTGATTATTTTGAGTTTAATATGAAATGAATGGTGTGGATCAAATTTGAACTATTGAGCTGTTATTTTTCTTTCTGATAGTTCTCTTTGCTGAGCTGTATATTTTTGTAGTAGGTACTGGTTTAATCTCAATTTCTGAATACTGGGTTTTCTTGATTTTGATTAAACCGTGAATTGTTTTTTTAGTTATTATGATGCGCAGCTTGGTTAGTAACCTGTTTTGGTGTGTTATGCCACTTGTTTTGATGTGCAACTTGGTATTTATGTATGCAGCAAGTTCAAATTGTTATCAAGGCATGAAGATGATTACGGTTTTGAGATGGAGGTTCATTGCAAAAGTCATAGGCATGGCATTGTTGGACTTAGGAATTTCTTGTGTAACTTCTTTGTAATTTCTAAAGGTGCAATGTTTTGTATGGTATAGTTTGAATAGGGATTAGTCTTGAACAAGTGTAATGATCCTTTTTTTAATCAAACTTGAATGCACCATGAATCTTGCTTAATGTTATGATGGAATTTTCTTGAATATGCAGTGGGTAGAACTCGGATAATGAAATTATGGCTCTTGATTATGAATTTAAATTGATAGAACTTGAATGAAGATGAATTGAGATTGAACTTAATCATGTAATTCCTGAATTTGATGAACACGCCTTCCAAACCAGATAACTTGTTTTTTGAATTATGAATGGCTCATGAATGGATTACTTGCATCTAAAGAACAAATATTCCAAACTTGTATGCTCCTTCGAACAATTTGAACCAATTTGGATTCACGACATGAATTCACATCGATCCAACTCTTGAATCTACATCAAAATTTAATACCAAGCAATAAGTACCACTGAAGGCATGGATCACAACATCATTAGACACTTTAATCTCGAAAAAATATCTTTTCACTTGGTGTACTTTATCAAAAATAATGCATTGAGGAAAATTTTGAAGATAATAAGGCTTGAAGCATGAAATTTACCGGACTTCAATTAATGAATGCTACCCAATTCAAATATGATGAAAGGAACACTTATTCTCTTTTGAGATATCTTGAAGAAGAAACCTCAATTGAAGCACCATAGATGAAAAATCATAACTTTGATCACACATAGGGAAATAAACCCTAATAACCTTGTAGTTTGAGGAGAAGGAAATCCTGATAATCACAAATCAAAATCCTAATTCCGCATTTCATTGCTTGAAGAAGAATCTGAAGAATCGGACTTTTATTGGATATGTATCTCAAAACCAAAAGAAAACCCTGGCCGACATGATTACTGCTCTTTTGAACCCAGGTGCTTTATTGAATGAAATTTATGACCTAATGGAAAGATGAAAAATGAATGCAGAGTCTAAACCAGATAAAAGCGAGATAGGAGGGCAAATTTTTGGGTGCAACAGATATTTCTGAAGAAGAATCAGTTTCATCTACCTGATTCAAATTTAGATGATGATTAAGAATGAGTTAATTTTATTGACTCGGAAGAGAGAACTGAATAGCTGGCACCTGATGTATGGTGTGTACATAATTGAGTCTTTTGTTTTTGTATATGAAGATTCTTCTTAATTTTGTTTTTTTTACTTAGACTTACTCTTTGTTTCTTTGGGTCTATTTTTTTTTTAGTTTGTTCTTGTTTTGAGTCAGTCTTGCTTGGGGGAGTTATTTTCCTTTAAGTTTGTATGAATCTTCTTGTTCTGCAATATATTATTGAGCCAGTTTTTTCTGTGTCTTGAATCAATTCTTACTGGTATTGGTTCTCTTGTGTTAGTTGCTTTTAACTCAGTTTTTGTCAATTTTTGGCTAAAAATGAGGAGAAAGGTATGTTGTGTCTAAGTTAGGTCAATTGTTGTTTACTTGTTCTATTCAACACTTTAGGGAGAGCATGATAGTCCATCATGCGAGTCTTGAGTTTGTTCTAGTTGTTGTTTTTTATGGATGTTTTAGCAGGATGTTCTAACATTTTATCTGTCTATGTCTGTCTGCGTGTTTCCTTTTTGTTGTTTCTGATGTTCTGAGTTAGGAGCATGGTTGTATCCTGTGTTCTGAGTTATCAGGAGTTGAGGTATGGTCCTATCAGACTTTACCTAGAGAATTCAGGATGGTATACCAGGACTGTGTTTGAGGGGAGTGTCTCTTATCTTCTTTCTCATGTACAAAGTTTACATGATAAGCATGTAGTTTGTGTTGGTGCTCTGTGGTTTTATTCCTCATCCCAAATTATTTGGTATTTTGGTTGCTTTAGCCAAAAATTTCCAAAGAGGGATATTGTTGGTACCATTGTCTTGGAATTGACAATTTTTTTCTAAAACATAATTCTGACCAGATGTCGAATAGGATGTCATGACATCGTGTTCTGATGTACAACAGTTAAGGCGATGTTTTAAATCTTAACTGATTTGATTTAATTTTGTTATATTTCTTTTGGGATATATATCAAATTTTGTCATATCTCTAGTTGTACAGAAGATACTAATTTAAGCCTTGAAGACAAATTAGGAAATTATGTATCGATTTATTCCAAGATTGAAGGAGATTGTTTGCACAATTTATGCATCACTTAGCTTGTGGATCAAGAAACTTCTGAACTCAGAATACCGAAGCCTATAGACTACAGAGATGTATAAATAGAGAAATCCTAACCTAATGTATTTAAGTTTTCAACAATTGTAAAATTAGGGAAAGCATAAGTCTTAGATTTTCAGAGTCTCTCGTGCATATTGTATGTCATCCATGTATCCTCGGATACCATATGGTAGACAGCTCGTCACTTGATAGTTTGTCAAGTTATTGTTCTCACTCGATGCTTTTAAGCAAGAGTTTGAGTATTGTGTATTTGAAATATAATCTCCTAAATTGGGTTGTATTTGTTGCAGTCACTAGGATTGAGACTGTTAAATATCATTGTGGTGATTGGAAGTGAGATGACGATTTTTCATATGCTAGGAGTGAGGAGCTCTTAGGCAGAAGATGCATTGGATAGTGATTAAGAGAGTAAAAGTTGTAAACGAGGGAGTTTAACTTTGAACCGATGCTACCGATAGTGGACTTCCTTCCTGGTTTGGTAGTCCCCCGAGTATGTTGTTGGACCAAACTAGGTTAACATATCATTATGTTATTTATCATTCTGCAGTTTAACTTTGTTTCGTGTTTATTTTGATTGATTTGGTTTGTTATATGATGTTGTAACATTTATCTCGACATCATCTACTGTCAAGATGGTTTGTTTGTATGTGTTACATGTACCAGAATTTCAGGTAACGATTCATTATATAAGGTTAGGTTTTGTTAAAATTGGTACTTAATTGAGCTTTAGTACTAATTAATATCTGAAAGCCTAATGTTTTTAGAATCTGATATTAATTGAAGCATTGTACAAGCATATCTCTATTTTCTCTTTAAGACTTCCTCGCGCATTTTTGTAAAACATATGATATTCTATTTTTAGAAAATCGGTTGAAATTTTTTAAAGTTCTATTCACCCCACCCCCTCTAAACCGTTTCTCTACTCCATATTCTCACCCTACAGTTTTTCTCAAAATGATCTTTTGATCAGGTCTAAGTGACTCAAAAATTTGAAAATATTATGGACGATGACGATTCAAATGGGGCATATAATAGATCACTTGTTTTTAAAGACGGAAACTATTCTTATTGGAAAGAGAACTATATACATTTACTGTCAGTTGACAAAAATCTATGGGTAGCCGTCACCAACGGACCATTTATCCCTAAAAGTATCAATGATGTTGTTAAACACCCAAAGGACTGGACATTATGATGAAAACAAAAATACTTCAAATGATATGAAATTCAGGAACATACTTATCTCCGCTTTAAGCGTGAAAGTGTTCTACTCATTTCACGTCGTTGGAGTGATAAAGGTATATGGGACATTATCTAAACCCTTTATGAGGGAACATATGACATCAAGGATTCTAAGATCAACATGTTTACATAGGAGTTCGAACTATTTTGTATGGAACTCATAGAATCTGTGAATTATATATGCATACTAGATTCCTCCACTTAATAAATAAACTAAACAACTTAGGAAAAACAATTTCTAACAAAGATTGTACTAACAAAATATTAAGATCTATGTACAGGGAATGACAATCAAAGGTTACCAATATAAATGAATCTAACGATTTTAATTCTTTGGACATCACAAAGTTATTTGGAAAACTAACTGAGTATGAAAATGAACTGAAACGACTCGCAGACAGCGAAGTAAAGTCGAAAAAGAAAGAGAAATGGAAAGAAGAGAAAGGGGATCGTTCTTTGAAAGCTTCGTAATTTAAAGCGAAGAAGTCAAAGGGAAAAAGTGATAACTATGATGAAGAAACTCCTAAAAAATAGGAGATGGATTTATTTGTTAGACGCTACAATATACTTAAAAAGAAACAAGCTCAAATATTCCGACAAAGATTTGGTAAATTTCAAAATACTCACCCGTCTAAAAAGAATACAAGAAAAAAGATGACGATGTTACATTATATGAGTGAGTAAAATCGAGACATTATAGAACTACTTGTCTAAGACTCACCAAACATCATAAAATAAAAGATAAGAAAGTCTACAAGACAAAAGACAAATTTGTCAAAGGTCGTAGAGCCAACACGCGTGGGAAAAAGAGGATGAGATCTCCTCTTTAGATTCTTGCTCGAGTTCAAATGATGAGTGTGCCAACCTATGTTTGATGGCACATAAGAATAGTGAAAGTTCATAAATATATATTTTTAACTCTAATGATGAATAATATAGTAAAATGTCAAAAGCGTTTAATAATACATATGCATATTCTATAAATCCTTTTAAGAAAATTTCTCTCCAAAAAAAAAAAATTTTAAAACTTGAAAAGAATATTAGTGATCTTAACGGTACTTTCGATTCGGTTTTACTATTTCTAAAACTTTATCCATAAACAGTTTTGAAATTAAGAAAATATATAAAACTCCCCCATATATTTGGGATGGCTTCCGTGAGTGTGTTTTTAAAGTTAAAGACAATATTTATTATAAATTTATTAATAATATTCTTAATTATTTGTTAGAGAATAAATAAAAATAATAATAGATAGGTAAATATAGGATAAAAAAAGTAAAATGTTAGTATTAAAAGTAATAATTTATTAACCAATCGTTAGTTGGTTAAGTGATGATTGACGATGAATTTGATAGAAAAGACTCCAATTCAATCCCCTACAACTGCGATCGGGAGAGAACTAGAAACCACTTGATACAAGAACTGACCCTCAAACCAGACTATACTGGTGGTGAAAACCGAAAAAGAAAAAGTAACGATTTATTAATTGTTTCGGCATGTAAAAAAATCAAAAACAGACATACAAATTCCAAGTCAGTAAAAATCATGAAAAAGTATATACACAAAAAG